TATCAGACAGCACAAGATTGTTCGAGCATTTCCCTGAGTTTTTTTTACATAACGATGATATTTAGGTATTAGCGATTCGAGTTTTGTATGCTCGAGAGTCGTCGCAACACAATTTTTAGTTAAAAACGATATGATGTGCCAAAGACGGGTAAGATTCATGGAAAACGCTCGCTACTCGCCACTGTCTCTCTGTGACAATACCACCTGCACGCTACGCAATTCTTAGCCTGTACTCGCAGCTCATGATTGTCGTGTTCATCAAAATGGTGCCAGATCAGTACCAACTTTAATATAGAGCTTGTATTGAAGAAAAACACTCACGTGGTTATCTTGGCAAATATGTAAGTTATGACGAAATAAAAAATGCCTTGATACTTAGTATTTAAAATGAACTCGACATGAGTTTCAGTTGTGTGGCAGCAACCTCATCAAAAAACAGAATCATACCCTATTGCCACCCCCAGTGAATAATGTTAGCTGAAACAATGCTCACATATCATCCCTTAGCTACAAACAATATAATTCGATAAAATGTATTTATATTATTTATTCAATAGAATGTAAATGTAATTACATATAATTGGAATGTTTTACGTATATAAAACCTTCTAACAAAAAGCCTAATGCCCGGCCGTGAACTGTTACAGAACAATAGAAATAGAAGATATTAAAAAAAAAATTGCAGTTTTATGTGTTAGGTTTACAACTAATAGAATTAACCCGCGACTTTAAAACAACAGGCGAAATACTCGTCTTATTATTAACGGTGGTGATTTCTAACTTAGTTATTTATTTATTTTGTTATTTTGCATAATGTGTGTCTTACAGTTGTTATGAAAAAATATAGTACAACAATTATAGTTGTGTTGGGTTTAAGTAAGAACTGCGGTTGTCAAAGTCATCATAAAAGTTCACAAATGGACATGGATCAACTGCGGATTTCTACTTTTTTACGTGGTAGAGCCACGCTACAGCTATATTATGCTTATAGCACAAATGGATCGGCCCTCCCGGATAATGACTACGCTCTCACGAAATACCAGCGTAAAATCGTAACTTAATACTGCTGTGTTTCGTATGATGAGTGTAAAGAACCGGAGACCCCATTTACTGGAATCGAGGGATTCCATCTTAGTCCTCACGGGTGAAAACGCATCTGCATTTCGATTCATAATTGAGGATAGATGTAGATGTCTATGGGCCACAGCAACCACTTACCACCACGTATACCGTGAGCTCCTATGTCACCCTTATCCTATAAAAAATACTATGAGACATACTTTGAAGTGAGCATATGTCCAGAAGTAGACGTTTGATAGGCTCTAAGGAAATGCTCAGGATTTTATTTTTATTTTTGACAAGTTCATCAGTCTCAAAGCATGTAGATTTTGCACCCTCATTGGAGGAAACTATATGGATGAATCACAGTCATTAAGTACACTGATAAATAAATTATTTGCAACACAAGTAACAATTCTATTGCTGTTCTACCCCCTCTTCTAGAGAATACTCATTTTAAGAATTGAGTGGATTTTCTCAGCCACTGAGATGAGTAAAATTTTGTAGTTAATCATTTAATCTGATCAGGGAAATTTCACAACTGGATTCAAGTGTGATTTTTTTTTCTGTGAGCCACGCTACAGCTATATTATGCTTGTAGCACAAATGCATCGGCCCGCCCGGTGAAGGACCACGTTCTCACAGAATACCAGCGTAAAATAGCAGCTTATTACTGCTGTTTTGTATGGTGAGTATAGATATCCAGAGTCCCTTTTTACTGGAAACGAGGTATTTTATCTTAGCTCTTAGGGGTGACATCGTAACTGCATTTTAGTTTTCAATAGATGTTGATGTCTATGAGCCACAACATTGACGCACCATCAGGTGGACTGTGTGCTCATTTGTCACACTTATCCTATAAAAATGGGAGGATTTGCCGTTAAAGTCACGCTTGACGCAGACCAATTGACGAACGCAGTGCCAGCCGTCCTGCACCTTTGACTTTGTCGCAGCCGTCCATCGCCGGTCTGGGCATTTTACGTCCAGCGTAATCAATATAGTATACCGCCACCTATCGGAAGCAATAACTTTTTTTAGCGTTTTCCCACTTCCTATAGTCACCTCTTACCTTACTACTCCCATGGGAAGAAATCGGGTGGTGAAATCTCCTACAACGCCGCCAACCGACAGGGATAGATTGTTTGATATTAATATCCAGTGACCCAAATAGAGACGTGAGGTAAGTAGTTCGTATTTCAACATAATCCTAAGGAATAAACCATCTACTTCTAGATCGAAAATAATACAGGTCTAATGATTTATGTACACTGGGACCTAAGCCGTAAATATTCTAACCTCAATTCGATGAAAATGAGTTTTATTTATTACGTATTGTGCCTAATTTGGTGCTAATCATTTCATAATAAAAAGGTACCAACCAACCAGATAGGGGTCATCACAAATAACATAATAATTAGTTACCTACATATTACTAAGACAAACTTCAAAGAGAATACAATCACTACATAATATAACAACACTCACAATATGCCATCTGTTGACAAATACGTGAACTAGGTAACATAATATTTTATAGGTTTTACAGATTTATACTTCATAGAATCTATTTATTTACAATATAATAAACATTATGTAATCCAAAAGTAAAGCCTAAATTTTGTTTTAGTGTCTTATTCATTTTTAATTTATAAATAAACAATAACAAGATTTACAAAACAACGTCCTATTTAGTAGCAGTAAGTATTAAATACAGAATATTCAAAACATTTAGGTATGAAATTTGTATATTTCAATTTTTTTTGGCCAAGAGCACAAAAAAACTTTCATTTTGACCGAAATATCTATAAAATAAAGTAAGACTAAAGTCAATGTCTTAAATACAAACAAATAAAATACCGATCACTGGTCAAATATAATTGTGTAGATAAAATTATATTGATAGACGTGCTGTACTTACCCATTTCATGTAAAAATTATTGATATCGCGATAAATGCAAATTTACACACAAACACTATAAACATTACAAAGTGGCAGCCATGTTACTAGTAAATAAGTATTGCCAATTGAGAAAAAATACCCATTGATTACCGATTTATTCTTCCACCAGAAAAAAACTAAACTATACATTATGCTGTACTACTCTAAAATATATAAAATTATTCCATGAAAAATCAAAGTTTTCAAGAATAAAGTAAGTTAATTTAAACAACTTCATTTACAAGTTTATATTTTACAACGCTTCTAAAATCAGAAAGAAGAATGTATAGTTTTCTTCTTTAAATAAATAATAGTTTATTGTTGCATTATAATATGCATGGTACACACATTGTATTAATATGATGTAATTAATGTTATTAAAACCTTTTACAAAACTGTTTTATACTCCTTACGTAAAAACAATTATGTAGAAGTGATTAATATTAAAAAAACATCGATATTAATATCGGTAAGTAAACATCGATGTTCAAAAACGTCTAGACTTTTTAAACCACAAATATTGTTTCATGCGGGGTGAGTAAAAATGCAGATTAAGTTGAGAAATGGATTTTTACGTCTCTTTTTACGTCTTACTTGACTCTCGATGACGGAGTGAGGTCACTGCCTACCATCCCACCGTGTGGGTGATCCATTTTGTATTACACAGCACTCTTTGCGCAAAGCACTCCTCTCCCTGGACGTTAATAATTTGAGTGAGTCTTATGAAGTCCTCCCTATTGTCCTAAAGTCTCGTGCTCCAGAGTTGCACCGGTTTTAACGCGTCTTTTCTGACGCTCTTACTCTTTAGGTGTAGTTCCAAATTCATGGAAGACACCTTTAATGCATCTGGTCCCTAAAAATGTTGACCGCTAAGACACACCCTACTATAGGCATAATACCATCATCCATCGCCTCCTTATTTACCAAATTAATGAAATTCATTATAACCTACCAGCTTATAAAATACCTTGAGGACCACCAGCTAATTAGTGATCGCAAATATGGTTTCCGTTGGGTTCGCTTAACTGTGATTTTATAGTTTACTTGACTCTAAGATGGACGGAGGCAAGGAGTCCGAATATTCTTCTTATATAGTTCCCGAGAAGTTGTGGATTGGAATCACTAGTTTTCTTGCATATCGGAGCGTCAAAATCGTAGTTCTAGAAGACTGCATGCTATCAACTACGATGTTTGTTCTGCATATCAATTATATGTTGCAAACCAGTAACATTAATTGCTATGTGGACGGTAAAATTCGTGATACTTTACGACCGTGCCAATATTTCTCGGGTAAACTTCGTCTAGTGCCAACAAACATTGGGATTGAACAACTAAATCTAGTCAAGCTTAACTCTCAAAAGACACAAGCAGTAATTCAATCTGGCAAACCAATTTGCGACTTTACAAGGTGCTGGCTCGGCTTCACATGGAATACTGTTCTCATATCTAGGCCAGGGCACCCCAGTGCCAATTCCTTCCATTTGACCATATCCAGTGAAGCGATTTGAACCGTCAACGACCAAGTTTTTTCTGATCGGCTCTACTCACTGGCGCTGCGAAGAGACATTGCATCACTTTACAAATTCACGACGGGTAGGTGGTAAATGACAAAAAAGTGACTTTCAATAAGTATTATTTATAATCCATATTGAATTAAAAAAATCTGCTTCTGTTTCTGATACTATCCACACCATCTGGATGCTTGGAAGTCCACCATTGTTTTGTCGATATATTAGGAGTTTTCTTCCTCATTCGACTCTTTTGTGCAATTCCCCTGGTGTTGCACTTGTTCGTGGGCAGCTGTCGACACCTATCATCAGGTGAGCCACATTCTCTTTTGGTCCCCTTTTCAATAAAAAAATGTAAGTGCAATTTAATTTTGTAACACATGTGGTTAGAAGTTTTATATGATTATCCATATTAAAACATCGATTAGTTCACGTTAAATCGGTGTTTTGATATGAATATTGACATCACTACAAAAATGTTGCCATAATCCACATTGTTTAATGTCAATTTCTTTCTGTATCAACATCTGTCAAAACGGTACGATTCCAAATAAAAATTATAGTAAATCGAATTAAATCTAATTTAATATAATATTTAGACTTTTTATATGAGTGAAAAATAAAGTGAATCATTTCTATAATTCGTAACATATTTATATTTCAGCTCCAAAATGGTACAGCGTCTTACATTTAGGCGACGTTTGTCGTACAATACCAAGTCGAATCAAAGGAGAATGTGAGTTCATATTTCTGTCTTTATGTAATTTTATTTATAATTGACCCCCAACACTGCAATGATCTTAATAAATTGTATGTTTCTTATTAAAACGGTTGGTTTAGTTAACTTCGTAAATGTTTTACAAACATAACCTCGAAAATATCGGCTCAGAACGAATTATCATTTTTTTTTTTAAATAAATAGACCAACAGAATATCATTCTTTATTTTCTACATTATTTTATACAGTTTACATATAGTACCTTACGTTATTTTTCTGCGTTCTAATAGTACACATTTGGTTATTTGTTGGAGGGGATTACTGTGCTCAATATACCTGCTTCTCTCTTCGAACAAGAATAAATAAAATTGCAAATGCATTGTTTCTTAATAGGACTAATACCTCATTACCAGTTATAAACAGTATTATGTTGTTATTTCATGCTGGTATTCTGTTAAGTGTAGTCTTACTCAGCTCAAACTAAATCATTTGTATTGTATCTATAAGTTAGTTGCAAGGTGGCACTACCACAAAAAAACATTACCCCCATGGAATTTCTCCTGCATTGTGGAGACCAGAGATGCTGCAAATAGTTGTTATGGTGAATGGTTGAATACTATTACGATTACTCGCCATTCCTCATGGCGAATATTCGAATACTCGCTATAGTTATTCAACATAAAAAAAGGAATATAGTAAATAATTTAATTGTTACCAAATAATATTACAATTGTAGTAGTAGTCTCTTGAACTTACCTACCATTTATATGTTACTGTAATTTAAAAAAATCTAAGACTATGACTATTGTCATGTGAACCCTTTTGTTGTACATAACATATTTTATGGAGAATAACTGCATTTTGTGAAAGAAATGGTGTCCAAGAAACCTTGCTTAGACAATGAAAAGAGGGATGTCATTTCAGAAACTCATGAACTAATTTGGCCATGTTTTGACGAATCTAAATCTACGAGAACAGAGCAGTCTAATGAGAGTCACCCAATAATACCATTGCTGATGAAATTGCCTACTACATCAGGTTCGCAAAGACTGACAGAAGTTTAAACCCATATGAATGGTGGTCTTTGAGTACCAATAAATATCGATTCCTAATTTTAAGTAAGCTTGCTAAACTATGCTTAGTCACTCCAGCAAGCTCTGTTTATTCAGAAAGACTATTTTCTGAGTGAGGTTTGGTTTACAAAAAAAAGCACAACAGACTTGATCCCTGTTGTGCAGACTGTGCTGACTGACGAGAAGATACTGGAGCTGGAAGAAGAGGTAGACAAGTTGCGCTGGCATATTATTGGATTATCTGAGGTTCGAAGAGAGGGGGATGACACAGTAATCCTCGAGTCCAGCAACTTGTTCTATCACCGGGAGGGCGACCATCTGTTCCAAGGAGGCGTCGGATTTATCGTCCACAAGTCTCTTGTCAACAACGTTGTAAAGATTGGGAGTGTGTCGACGAGGGTCGCGTACCTGATACTCAGAATCACCAAACGGTATTCGCTGAAGGTCATACAGGTCTACGCACCAACCTCGGCACATCCCGATGAGGAGGTGGAGGAAATGTATGAGGATATTTCTAGAGCCATGCATTCCTCCAAAATCCACTACACGGTGTTGATAGGAGACTTCAACGCAAAACTAGGCACAAGGGAAGGCGGTGAGCTGAAGTTAGGGTAATTTGGAGTAGGGCAACGGAATTGTAGGGGCCAGCAGCTGGCTGACTATGGAGAAAGTGGGACTCTTTATGATGAACTCTTTCTTCCAGAAGAGGCCCCACAGGAAGTGGACCTGGTCGAGCCCCGACGGTTCGACAAAAAATGAGATTGACTTCATTATGACGACCAGACGCCAACTGTTCAGTGATGTCTCAGTGATCGCAAGGGTGAAAACCGGCAGCGATCACCGAATGGTTAGAGGCACACTGAACCTAAATGTTAAGTTGGAGAGGTCTCGTCTAATGAAGCCAACGCTCCGTCCCCCTCGTGCTCTAATCCAGAATCCCGAGACCTTTCAGCTCGAGTTACGAAACTGCTTTCAGTGCCTAGAAGATTGCAATGCAGTGGACGATATGAATGACAAGCTCGTGGAAACTGTCCATGCGGTCGGGGCTAAGTTCTGAAAGACCCGCCGCTTCTGCGGCGGGTCTTGCAGAACTTCTGAAGACAAAAACTCTCCGATCACACTCTTAATCTCATGGCTGTTAGACGGGAGATGAGGCTGCAATCGTCAACAGATTTGAAAGCATGCAGGCAACTGAACAGACAGATCTCCAAATGCATGCGGCGAGACTTACGCAACTTTAATACTGCTCGTATTAAAAAATGGATCAAGCGGAACCAGGGCTCCAAAGATTTGCCAGAGATCTGTCTGCCAGAAAGAGCCAACTGTCAAAGCTGAAGACTGAGTGTGGCAGCATCGTTTCCGAGACACCTGAGATTTTGAGTGAGATTGAGAGGTTCTATGGGCAGCTGTACACATCATCGTTGGAGCCACACGCAAGTGTGAATAACGATCCAAGAGCAAGTCTTACCCGACACTATTCCGATGATATCCCGGACGTCAGTCTGAGCGAGATTAGAATGGCTCTCCAGCACCTTAAAAACGGCAGGGCCCCAGGCGAGGATGGAATTACAGCGGAGCTTCTGAAAGCGGGTAGAACACCGGTACTTGAAGTCCTTCAGAAGCTCTTCAATTCCATCCTCCATGGTGGCACTACTCCGGAGGCGTGGAGCAGAAGTGCGGTGGTCTTGTTCTTTAAGAAAGGCGACGACGCTCTCTTGAAGAACTACAGACCGATTTCCCTTCTGAGCCGCGTTTACGTGCTGTTTTCGAGAGTTATTACGAATCGTCTCGCACGCAGACTCGACGACTTCCAGCCTCCCGAACAAGCCGGTTTCCGAAAAGGCTTCAATACCATAGACCACATACATACCCTGCGGCAGATTGTACAGAAGACCGAAGAGTACAATCGCCACTTTGCCTGGCGTATGTGGACTATGAGAAAGCCTTTGATTCCGTCGAAATTTGGGCGGTGCTACAGTCCCTTCAGCGGTGCCAATTTGACTGTCGGTATATCGAAGTGCTGAAGTGTTTGTACAGTAGGGCTACGATGGCTATCCGAGTACAGAATCAGAGCTCGAAACCTATCCAACTGCAGAGAGGTGTAAGACAGGTTGACGTTATATCCCCGAAACTCTTCACCGCTGCATTGGAAGACGTTTTCAAGATACTGGACTGGAAAGGATACGGTATTAACATCAATGGCGAGTACATCACTCACCTTCGATTTGCCGACGATATAGTCCTTATGGCAGAGTCGCTGGAGGACCTTAGCACTATGCTCAATGACCTCAATAGTGTCTCCCAACGGATAGGTCTTAAGATGAACATGGACAAAACAAAGATCATGTTTAATATCCATGTCTCACCTATGGCGGTAGTTGTTGGGAGCACTATGCTCGAAGTTGTTGACGAGTACGTTTACCTGGGACAAATAGTCCGACTAGGTAAGTCCAACTTCGACCAAGAGGTCAATCGACGGATTCAACTCGGCTGGGCAGCGTTCGGGAAATTACGACACATCTTCTCGTCAGGTATAACTCAATCTCTGAAAACTAAAGTGTACAACCAGTGCGTGTTGCCAGTGATGACTTACGGATCAGAGACATCGTCCTTCTCTGCTGGCTGTATGAGGACGCTCAAGGTCGCTCAGCGAGCTATGGAAAGGGCTATGCTCGGAGTTTCTCTGCGTGATAGACTCCGAAATGAGGATATCCGCAGTAAAACCAGAGTGACCGACATAGCCCAACATGCGTGGATGGATGGATTTTCATGGATTTTCTCTGCGTGGTAGACTCAGAAATGAGGATATTCGCTATAAAACCAGTGATCGACATAGCCCAACGGATTAGTAAGCTGAAGTGGCAATGGGCCGGCCATATAGCTCGAAGAACCGATAACCGATGGGGAAGAAGGGTTTTCGAGTGGCAGCCTCGTACCGGTAGGCGTAGTGTAGGGCGACCCCCCACTAGATGGAGTGACGACCTGGTAAGACATGCAGGAAGTCGATGGATGTAGGTGGCTCAGGACCGTGCTTTGTGGCATTACTTGGGGGAGGCCTGTGTTCAGCAGTGGAATTGTGAAGGGCTGTAATGATGATGATGAATGGTGATGATAGTTTTTCTGTCCATTTAATATACGTTTAATTTATTTTATTTGTGGAATATCGAATAATTAACACTATTACTCACTATTTGACGAGTAATGCCGAATACCGAATAATAATGAGTATTTGCAGCATTTCTAGTGGAGACATTTTATTATTATTATTTATTGTTACTTTACTAACATATTAGCATACTCTTACACCAGAGTAATATTCTATAATTTATATTATTTCTTGGTGAAATTAAAACCGCTACACTTTTAAAAGTAAATGTGCCTTTTTATGCAAGTTGGGTGCTGTTAACTATATTTTTGCAGGGCTTCAGTCAGGAAATGGGACTTATATTAGAAATAGTATAATAGCTCAACTTTTAACTCTGCTATTACAATACACTATATTGACTTCCAAATGTATATATGTCAACACAGAACTCGTATAATACTGGTAAAATGCTGTTCTATTCTGAGAGAACATTAATTTATAGTTATAACAGCACCATTCTCTGTAATTCTCAACACTTAAATCATATTCCAATATTTTCTTTTCTTTACATTCGACCAGCTGGCCAGCTAGCATCCTATTAATCTGTGCTGAACAGTCACATATGTTTATCGCAAAGCTAAACTCTTGTCTTCATGCCTACTGCTTGTCTAGTAATGGTGTTATCATCACATTAAAACAAAATTAAATGTGGAAATAACAATGATTAACACTCATAAGCCGGTTTCTAATATGTGGAAAGATACACACACATACACATGAATAGTTTCACAATCACAACTTTCACAACACTACTTACTATGTGGGATGGGTTAATCTTTTCCCATTTAGATTTATAACTAACTATAGTCTGTTTATGGTTTTTTGATAATTACCTTAAAAAATATTATCCTATGTTTCTTCTAGCATTATTGCTATTAAATTGTTTTTCTCATGCTTATGATGTAATGAATAAGACGGGTAAATCTTTGAAAGTAGTAAAATGCAATAAACACTAAAGCTTTACACCATTTAAAATAAACATAATATCTTGATTTAAAAAAAAATTATCAGCGATACTAAACAATACAAATACTCCTGCTAAACACTCCAGGTGAGCTCTAAATGCTTTAGTTGAAGTATTTACAACAGTGGTCAAATTGTGTATCGGAACCCTCAACATTTTGTTAATGGATGATAATGCATCTGTATTTTGATTTGTAATCAAGGATAGATGTGGATGTCTATGGGCTACAGCGACCACTTACCATCAGGTGAACTGTATGCTTGTTTGTCACCCTTACACTATCAAATTTATAATAATTTTTATTTCAATAAACTGTACAAATAATTCAAATAATGTCTTAATTTAAAATACACTCAGCGTCACAAAAATCGCACCTCTCTGAGTTTGCGCGAAAAATGGCTGTAATGGCTAGAAACAAATTATATTTATATAAATATTGGTATGTTTGAAATGGGTATTTGTATAGCTTTACATTATTAAGAAAAAAATCATGAAATCATTAAAACATTTATCATTATAGAGCGTCAAAAATAAACACTGTCAAATGCTCGTTAGTAAGAACGCTAGTTACACCACCTAAAAAGGGTATAAAATCTGGATGAAATATGGGTCAGTCGTAATTTAGACTTTGCAGTGAACACACGTGAACAAGTAACCCAAGTAAGAACAAGTAAAGATGGACACCAGCTCTGAAGAAGCCGCTCAAGTGATTGCCCTATTGCAGTCGGGGATGCGGCAGTGTGACGTTGCTCGACAGTTGAACCTGTCCCGTTATACAGTTAGACGGGTGTTCCAATGTTTTCAGCAGACTGGTGGTTATGTTAGAAAACCGGGATCTGGAAGAAAATGGTGCACATCAGAAAAAGATGACCGTTTCATCGTTACGACATCTTTACGAAACCGTTTTACAAATGCTGTTGAGTTGCAACAACAGCTTCGATCAACTCGGGGAACATCTGTGAGTGTTTCTACGATAAGAAGAAGGTTACACGAAAAGAGTTTAACAGCCCATAGACCTGCTAAAGGTCCAAAACTTACTGCACAGCATCGCAGAGATCATCTAGAGTTTGCTCGCAATCATTGCGAGTTGACTCTAGAACATTGGCGGACCGTACTCTTCTCTGATGAGACGAGGGTCTGTCTCTTCTGCAATGACAGACATAGAAGGGTCTACAGAAGACAGGGGGGAGAGGTTCACACAACCCTGCTTCGAAGAATCCGTCGAATACGGGGGTGGCTCTTGTATGTTTTGGGGCGGCATTTCCGTCGACGGGAAAACGGAACTTGTGTGCGTTTCCCGGACTCGGGGTGGCCGTGGGCAAGGGTCATTAAATGCTGGTCGGTACATTACTGAAATCCTGGAGGAACATGTGGTCCCGTATGCTGGTTATGTCGGTGATGGATTCATGTTAATGCATGATAATGCTCGTTGCCACACTGCGGCTATTGTACGGGATTATTTACAGGAGGTCGATATCCCTGTTATACATTGGCCAGCACGAAGTCCAGACCTTAACCCAATAGAACATCTCTGGGATGACCTAAAACGGCGCGTGCGAGCTCGAGATCCAGCTCCAACCACTCTTCAAGAGCTCGAAGATGCGGTACTTGAAGAGTGGGAACAAATACCCCAAGAGGCTGTTGCGACCCTTGTAAGGTCCATGAAAGATCGCATGGAAGCCGTTATCAAGGCAAAGGGGGGTACACTAGGTTTTAAGAACTTTTTTTGTATTTATTAAGTTTTTTTTAAAATTATTAATTTGCAAATTTGTACATACCCTGTCTTTTTCTTTAATTTCAATAAAATACAATTAAAATTCCTGAAAGCTAATGAAATTACCTTTCGAATGATCACCCTCAAACCACAACATTGCCATTGGCCTGTTGTGTTAAAATAGTATTTAAATTATTTTTTTCGGATGTGCGATTTTTTTGACACCGAGTGTAGTTGGCAATAACAGGCACCTGAACTAGGATAAACCTGTATCTCAGGTGTATGTGCTAATAGATACATTAAGAAACATTTTCTGTTTCCTCTATAAAATGAATAACATACCAACCAATTAGGTTTATTTCGGTAAAATATATTATAATGAATTTACTTATGATAGTAATTAACTTAAAACAATCAGCAACTTTTCTGTATCATTCATGACAATGTTTGTTACTTGATTATACAGAAAAGGGCCAATGAATTTAAAAAATCTATGCATGAAAGAATTGAATTGAAAAGACTTGTTCTGATGTTAGTTTCAAGTACTTTATCTTTGCATCTTTTATCAGTGACCTCTCTTCTGTAGGTCAATTTTAAGTGTTGTTTTGGTAACATACTCATAACGAATAACTGGTGCACTGAGAGGACATTATAAGATTTATATAAGAGATAGGGTGGAATGTTGCATCTTTTAATGTAGCTCTTTGAGCATGTTCCAGTAGTAGCAGTGTAGTGTTAGCTGCTCCTCGCCATGACGTTATACAAAAGTTGAGAATTGATTGACATAATGCAAAATGTACTTGCTTTACTTTACTATCTTAATAGCTTTATATTTTACTACCTTAATATCAGCATATAAATAAAAAAATATTCTCGAAACTACTATAATCTTAATGCCTAAAAATCCTGTTAGTTTAGTTTACGACGGGTTGTTTTCCGCAACTCCACGTCTAGCCGCGTATTTTGAGTGTTTACAGGAATATTATGAATTATTTGAGCCATGAAATCTCTCTGAAGTTCAACATTCCTTTGATGATGCAAGCAACTTCGGGGAGCGATCCTGGCGTGCCAAGATGTTTAGCCCTGTATGCAGCGACATCCGGACATGCCAGCAACACGTGTTCCGTCGTTTTCTCTTCCCCCATACATGCCCTGCACAGGGGACTATCTGTAATACCTATAGTTAATAAATGTTTGTTAAAGGGCCATGTCCTATAATGCTATCCTGATCTGTAGCTTGTTTATTTTTGACAGGGCCTCATTAGCTTGCTTGCAGTCTACTAGATTTTTCCAAAAGTGAGCGTGTTGATTAGCAAATTTTTTATGTACCAGTGAACAAATGTTACCAGGCCCTATAATGGCCATAACCAATTCTCTCCTGGCCGGTTCATCTGCTGCGTTGTTGCCCCTGGATCCATTGCAGAGTCACATTGTGTTTACATACCTTATTTAATTGTTGATGGCATTCATTTATTAGTCCAGAGCATTGCATCTCAGAGCTTGTAGTACCACCATATTGTATGTCAGTCAGTATTCTGATGGAGAAGACTTTTACCTTCCTAGCATCTATTGCTATGGTCGCTTGGATGATACCCATATATTCTGCTTGAAAGTATGTGTGTGTGTGTGTGTGTGTGAAAGAACATGGGTACCCAGTGATGGGATTCATTTACTCTGCAATCATGTGTGTTTATTACATAGTTTTAATTTAATGTTTCAGAGTTCGGACTCCTGGTGGTCGGCTTGTTTATCAGTATGTCAAGAAGCCTAAGAAGATCCCAAGATGTGGTCAGTGCAAGAGCAAACTCAGAGGTATCCAACCCGCTAGACCCGCCGAGCGTTCCCGCCTCTGTTACCGTAAGAAAACTGTAAAACGTGTGTATGGAGGTGTACTTTGCCACAAATGTGTGAAGCAACGCATTGTTAGAGCTTTCCTCATTGAAGAACAGAAGATTGTGAAGGTTCTCAAAGCACAACAAGCGAGCGCGAAAGCTAGCAAAAAGGCTGCAAAGTGAACATTAGGCTGTAAATAAATAACAACAACAATTCATTTTTTTATTTTTATGCAACCAACATTTAATAAAAATATTTCATAACAATATAATTCATAATAATACTTAAGGGTACTACAATCAATTGAAACAAGCTGGCTATATTCAGACTAATAAAATAAATTGAATGCAAGCAGCCATGGTAGCCCAGGGGCTAAGCGCCCATTGTAAATTTCACAGTATGTGGGCAACCTGGGTTTGGTCCCACTGGCACCAATGTAATTGTTACCTGCAATTTTAAGTTCTGACTTAACACATGTTTGGCAGTGAAGGAAAGCATCGTAAGAAAACTTGCATGCCTGAGAAATATGAAAAAAATTTTTTTGAAAACGTAGTTCGCCAACACGCATTGGGACAGCGCGGTGGACACTTGCTTGCCCTATAAAACCCTTTGAGATTTGGGAGGAGGCCTGTGCCTAGCAGTGCGACGTATAGACTTTATTTTACTTTTAAATGCAAACATCATCACAATTATTTGCAATTCTAGCTCTAATGTCAGTTAGTGTTTTATATGGGCCAGTTTCCGCAACTGTTTTCTGTATTGAAGTGAAAACTTGTTTAGAATTGCTGATTTGAAGCTAGACGAAACTAAAAAGAAAAATATATACAGAGAATGAGATGTATAGTTTTCTATCATCTCGGTCTCCTTTTTGTGCGGTGATTTATAAATAATTAATATAAATTTTAACTGTTAACATCCAAATTTGACTGCTTCTATATTCCGTCAAAATTCAAGTGGTCAAATGTGACTGCACCCACCCCCAGCACTTTAACCAGGCCTACGTCACTCGCTCTAGGCCACGCGTTATATGCCTACCGCTCTGCGTATCGTCCACGATACAACCGTCATTGGGCTGCCGCAAGCAACGACATGGCACCACGCACGTTTCCCGCGCTTACTCGTCGAAATGCCAAAACCAAGTAATTATTGTGTAGTGGATGGGTGTAAAAGTAAAAAAAAAAACAAATAAAAATTGTCTTTTTTTGCGTTAACTCATGTATTAAAGTATTTATTATATAAGTGGTGCAAAAAAACACAGCTAGCTTCAATGCTTCGTTACAGGAGAAATATAAGCGACAGTAGCCTAATGGCAAGGCGCGGACCGCTAACTCAAAAAGGTCGTGGGTTCGAATCCGCCATTCGATTACTGGCATGAACCACGCGTAACACAAGCAATTTAGGCTTACCATGTGTGGTTAAGGGGAATATTAGTAATCTTAATAGCATTGATAATATTCTTTAAAAAAAAAACTAATGTTGACGAAACAACACTGCGTAGTGTGTACTCATTTCAAAGCTTAAAATAAAGATTCATCTTTTTATGGTGGGCTAAAATTACCACCAAAACCGTTTAATAATTATGTTGAAGAATTAGAAAGATCATTCTCATAATTTTGAAAACGTCCTAATGAATCGGCCTGCAGCACCGTGTTGCAGATTTTACAAACCATTGTTTTTCCTCTGCTTTGCTCCTGTTTTCCTCATGATTATTTATTAAAATTATATACACGATTTAGGAAACTTCAACGATAAAATTTAATAACCGAGAATTCAGTGAAGGAAAAATAATTTATAAATCATTTTATAAAACTCAAAAATATTTGATTGACAAATAAAAAATATTGTTAGTATGTGTACGTATTTCGCCACATTCGTTTTATTACAATAATCATCATAGGTACAACCCTAGCGCATTCGTGCGATGACGAGCTTATACGTGAGTCGCATGGCGGGCAATACAATCTCGACTCTTCGTGCGCGTACTTATGGTACATTTTCTTCTCGCTGCGAGCAGCGTATATTATTATTAAAATTTTGTAGGCTGTTATAGCGTAGGTATTTTCGATTTTGTATGGGAGTGATGTATCTGTTGGTAAACTATTTATTAATCTGTGCTTTAACCCATAAATACTTACGTTTAGAGACTACTTTTCTATGAAGTAGTTTGACGTTATAGAATCAATATGAAATTTTCTATCCTCTAGTGGAATAAAAAGTCAGTTATTCTATGGATATTTATTTATAATCTACGTTCATTTCGTACGCCATTTTCATTTGAATGTTATTGTGTTCATTTTTAAAATTTTCTAGTGTTTTATTATAAAATTGTAATGAAAGTTTTTGTTTGAATATAATTTATTTTTTACGTAAATAATTTCGACTAATATATAGAAATAATTGTGATTTTCACTCTGCCGACATCCGCTTGGTATGTATTTTTTTTTTGTTATCAAAATACAATAAAATCTTTTTGTAATGACGTAAAACCTGACTTTTGTTTAGGTCATAGGATAGAGAATTTTGTATAGATTTTATAATACCGAACTTCTTCATAGAAAAGTAGTCTCTAAATATAAGTTTTAATGGTTTAAAGTGCTGTGGGTGTGTGCGGTCGCATGCGACCGCTCGGGATTTGCCGGACGCATGCGACTGCATGGGATTTTATGGGGATTAAAGGGTCAAAATAAACAGTTAAAAAATTGACAAATTTATTTAATTAATAAAATTAGCCATATTTAATAAGATAATCTAAACCAATCCATTCATAACAAACCACGATTTTATAACTTACTGATTTACGTGTAATTTGTCGTTTTGAAGCCATCTAGCGTCCATTTTAAGTAACACCGAAAGTCAATTTATGTTCGATAAAATGACTACCTAGACGTAACTATAGATTGAAGTAGATTTTACGCTATTACAAAGCAATTTCGCTCGCAATTTTCTAAACGTTTCACTTCTACCGCGTGTAAACTGCACAGTCATGTTTTTGATTATTTTTCTTTCCCTACCTACTCTATATAGGAGAAACCACAATCGACTTATACAATTTGCGCCAATGGGCGGCCTGACCATGGAGTGTAGAGGTAAGGATAACCGTCTCTTCTTCTCGTCTCTTCATTCGAGAATCGTCTCTTCATTTCGTACCCTCAAGCTACTCCAACGCTGTTGTGGAGAGTTTTTGAACTGTTATTTACTTATTTTATATAGAATAAGGCTGACAAGGCGGTGTAGTGCGGCTAAGAATATCCACTACCCCATATCTTCCCGTGGGTGTCGTAAAAGGCGACAAAGGGAAACAGGCAGGAGATGGGCAGCAGCGTCTTCCTCATAACAGCAACTGTACAACGAAAAAACTGCGTTTGCCAAAACGCTCGCCAAGCGTGGCAACTATTGTCGTATTATATACCCTCCATGAGATGATAAACTTAGAAATGAGGATATCCGCAGTGGAACCGGAGTGACCGACATAGCCCAACGGATTAATAAGCTGAAGTGGCAATGCGCCGGCCATATAGCTCGAAGAACCGACAACCGATGGGGAAAAAAGGTTTTCGAGTAGCAGCCTCGTACGGGTGAGCTTAGTGTAGGGCGACCCCCCAATAGATGTAGTGACGACCTGGTAAGACATGCAGGAAGTCGATGGATGCAGGGGGCTCACGACCGTGCTTTGTGGCATTCCCTCGGGGAAGCCTATGTTTGGCAGTGGACTTTTGAATGGCTGTAATGATGATGAAGGGTGACCACAGAAATCTAAATAATAAGGCAATAGAAGTCGTAAAAGCGCGTAACCTTGTCGCCGCACATGTGACTCTTAGGCCACAAGCGCCCAAGGAGCGTTAGTTTCGGTCACCAGTGTTACGAGTATTTCGGACGCAGAGACGTAAAAATGGAGTTTTGAAGCAAATCCAACTGCGGAAATTCTTCCAAAGTTTCAAATAAAGGGATAACATTTCATAAATAAGTACTTAGTGTTTTAAATAATGTTGTTTATAATGAAATATACTTAAATAAAATTATTCACCTCCAGTAACTACGATTGTCTCCGAAAATGTAATTGTTTTCATGATTCTTAAGCTAGTTCAGTGGCTACGCCTCCTGAGATTTTTTGTTTTTATAAAATATTCCTTAACGCAATAATTTATAGTTCAATCTTTGTTGCATGAATGCTAGAGATATGTGTAGGCGAAACTAAAAAATAAAAAAAAATAAAAATCATTTATTCCTAGAAATAGAGCTACAGACCTGAACATTGGGAAAAAAGTGACTTATATTAAATTAATTTTAACTTATATTAAATTAAATACTAATTACATATAAATTCTTATTACATATAAAAAAGGTACTGGCGGGCCCCAAACTAGGCATAGCCCGTATCTTGGGGACCAGGAGTACGGTTATCCGTTTTACTTACGTAATTAAAAGTACCCAAAATTATACAGAACAACAAATTATTTCTTAATTTAGGAAGATAGTTTTTAAGTATTTGTCGCTTATATTAATATTTATTTTTTATTCCTAGGAAAATATGAATACAATATTTTAGTGTGAAACGTAGATATAATTTGGTATTATTTTTGCTTTAATATTAAGTTTTCGGTATCATTATAATTTAGTGTGGTGAGATATCTTTTTACTATATGTTTAGCTTTCAAAGTGGTGCAATTTTTGATGTCGCAGACTTTAAGTATTTTCTTATAAATATGAGGATGTGAGAACTGTGGAAGACGTTGCGCGAAAACAGACCTGGCAGCCGGAATTGGGATTTTAAATATTCGTTTAATGATTAGTTAGGTTGTCGTAAATAGGCGACTGAATTACTTGCCCCAGGTTTTTAAAACTGCGGATGGAATATACAACTGGCGTACACTCAAAACCTCGCTATCCCGATAAAGATCGGCCGTAGGGTTTTTATACATGACCTTGAGAACTGCTCTCTGTGCCCTCTCCAACTGCAACGTCGTGGTTTTTGAGGCACCACCCCAAGCTGATATATAATATTGCATTAAGGATTGGCAGAGGGCAAAATAAACCATACGAAGTGTCTTTTTATCAGCACAGTTCCTGAGCAACTTCATTATGTAAGTAACCCTCTTGACTCGATTTGAGAGGTATGAGATATGCTGTTTGAAGGAAAGATTGTGGTCAACAATTACACCCAAGTACCTGATCGTCTCCACTC